AGCGGACTACTTGGTGAGGGAGGTACTGAGGTGCGGAGGATTCCCTCCACACCCTTCCGAGACTTCATGGAGACCTTGTGGACCCGGCTCATGACTCACAGTTTGACCACCCTGCACGGACTTGGGGTGTACTGTGGCTGAATGGTAGAGTGGCATTATCCTAGGCTAGCAAGCGGCCGGAATCAGCCCAATTGATTTGACGGTCGGCGAGGAAGGCGGATCTTGTGGTTATGTAAAACCCTCTGAGTGTATGGTTGATTGATCGATACATATGCCGACTCTCATCGACAATGGACCTTTCACAGGTTTCGCTTAAACTAGATAGAGAGAGGAGTCCTTCTTTTCTCCACGGGAGTGAGTGTTGGGACGTGGCTGGGGCTACGGGCCTTGAGGCAGTCTTGAGAGGGAGTTGGCCTGTCGGTGAGCGATGGTATGCCTGTGGTATGGTGATAGTGTGGAGATGGTGGTTTATCGATCCCAGGATCAAAACCTGGTTCTGGAATGGGAATGGGGTGGAATGGGTGTATGAATGGAGTTAAAACTTGACCAACTATTATTATATACTTGATTTACTAATGCATAGGAAACCCCAGCCTTATAGGTTCCTCTTTATTACATCCAATTTGCATCCAATTTCCACAAAGCAATGCTCATAGGGTTGGGAGTGGCCAGTACAAATCGTACTGATAAATTTTGGCACAGGTGAGTTCTCATTGAGGAGTATAGCTCGAGGAGTTTGATTGATTGAGGGTTCGTTCCTACGCTCGAGTTTATCGATCCTATCTTCAAGCTGTTCTGAATGAATGCTACTTTTGATTCCGCCAATGCGGCGATATAATAATCTATGTACTTTCGCACTATTTGTACTCTGATATTATCGTTGTATGGATGTGATATTCGACTGAAATCTGGGTAATATGATCTACAGCGGTCTTATTACGCTTCGACTCTGTGGATTTCCCTTCGCGAAAATCGGGGTTGTTTCACCTGCCACGTGGCACTCGGCAAAGATTCCTTTGCCGACCACTTCTTTACCGAGTGGGCCGCTCTCGGCAAAGCTTTTGCCGAGAACCGCACTCGGCAAAGCCTTTGCCGACGGCAAATGTTCCTTCGCCGAGTGCGGCCGGCACTCGGCAAAGGTGGCGGATCCAGTAGTGAGATGCAACTTGCCCGGCAGGCACACACAGGACCGAGTACATGACAAGATAGTGACACATCTCACACACATGTTCGCGTACGCACAAACAGTCCAAACCAACCACGGGCCGGGCATCTATATGTACCAAAGACACGACGCACGCAAAATAGACACGTACGCCAGCATGCATGAAGTTAAGCACACACACGACAAGAACATTTTAGTACGTGACAAGATGAGACACGTACGGGCCCTGCAGCCTGCTGCGGATGCACACACACACGTACAACAATGCCAGCCCTTAGCTTGGCTAGCAGTTGGGTGGCGTGGCGAGGCCGCACTTGGCGGGGAGCTCCGTGGCGCGCTTGGGGTCGATGTTGTAGACGCTCATCCACGGCGAGTTATTGTAGCCGCACAGGCAATTGAGGTCCGCGCCCGCCAGCGCGTCGCAGCACGCCTGCGACGGCGCCGCCGGCGGGTTCGTCGTCTTGGCGGCCGCGGGCTGGCACGACATGAACTGCTCGTTGCTCATGTCGCACACCGCCTCCGCCGCCACCAGCACGGCCACAAGCAGGGCGGCAGCCACCAGCTGCGGCGAGCTCGAGGACGACGACTTGCTGCTGCTGCTGGTGGCCGCCATGTCGTCGCGACAGATAAGCTTGCTAGCTAGCTAGCCGCTACGTGACTGTACTCGGATGTGGGTGATTGTGTGGCTAGATGTTTGTTTGCGATTGTTGCTAGCTCCGTTCCCTGTCGGGGGGAATTTATAGCGGGGGAGGGGTACTTCTGTTGCCGTTGCGGCTAACATAGTGAGAGTCTGAGAGAAGAGAGGTGAATAGTGAGCGTGGTCATCTGCAATATCAACAGAAGCCAGGCGTCTGCGAGCAAAGCGCATGCATGCAGTCATCTGCATGAGAACGTCATGACTATATAGGCAGCTAGCGGTGCAGCCCGTGAAGGTCCCGTGTCGGTTTGTACCCTGGGCATGTCAGCACGCCGCTCGCGATCAGGTTCACGGGAGGAGGAAGAAGAGCCTGTGAGTGCGGTGGACCCACGGGGAGCTTGTGGCCGAGAGAGTTCCCAGGATCTGCGGATGTGGCATCGGACCTGCATGCATTCTAGTTCTTATATGATTGGAGTTTCTCCATACCTGGATTGCGGATTTCAGATACTAGTCGTTTGCATATTGTCCTCATTTTAAATAAAATATTTGATTTTTTAAAAAAATAAAATGGAATTCCATTATTCAGTGTCTCCACCCTCGACGGCAACAATGTTCATGATACAATTTGGACCTTATTTAGTTGGCGAAATTTTTTGGGAAATGATACTGTAGTATTTTCGTTGTTATTTGGCAATTAGTGTTCAATCATAGTCTAATTAGGCTTAAAAGATTTGTCTCGTGAATTTCGTCTAAACTGTGTAATTAGTTTTATTTTTTATTTATATTTAATGCTTTATGTATACGCCTAAAGATTCGATGTGACGAGAAATATTGAAAAATTTTATAAAATTTTGGCAACTAAACAGCACCTCGAGAGATGAGCCAAAACGGGATCATCATCCTCCACACACGCACACCCGAGCGCAGCCAAAGCATGCGCTACGCTAGTACACACAACACAGGAACTCGACACAGTTCGAATGAACAAGTTATTGGATTTCCATGATCAATCCACCATAGAGATCCCATTTCTTCGAGTCCACAGCTTGCTTTACCTGAAAGGCATCGGTTTCCGGCCTGTTGCACTTTGGTTATGCCCAAATCAATCGCCGCCTGTAACCCTTGTAAGCACGCGACGGCTTCCACTTGGGAAGGGTCCAGAATATGGGATAGCCAACCTCTCCCAACCAAAATCATGGCACCTCTTTCATCGCGAATTATATAGCCCCATCCCCCATCTCCACCTTCTCTGCAGAAAAGATGCATAACAATTAGGCCCCGTTTGGCAGGGCTTCACTTCACTAGTGAAGCCATTTTTTTTTGCTTCTCTACGAACAGTTCCACCGGTGGAGCTGAAGCTGTTTTGGTAAACCGTTTGGTAAAATGGCTTCCCTGTGAGAGCATGTTTTTAGGGGCCTGGAAGAGGAGCCGGGAGAAGCCACTTTTTTTTTGCTCCATCCCACCCAAAATCACTGTGAGAGCATGTTTTTAGGGGCTTCACAAGTGAAGCTATTTTATTTTATCCCGTTTGGTAGAAAACGGCTTCAAACGACTTCAGAAGCCGGTGAAGAAGCCCTGCCAAATGGGGCCTTAATCTTCATGAAGCTTGACGCTGGTTTTTGCCATTTCTAAATTGTCCTATTCACAGTCCTAGGTTCCTTTGCTGACATTTGAACTATCTCTCCCACATAACACTCCACCATTTTTTTCTCGGGTTTTGTTTCGCTCCCACCACCACATCCACATCCCCACAACCAAAGTTAGTTGTGGGATTCTTGGCAGCCCCAGGATGTAGCGCACTGCTTGCCGCGCTGATTCAAAACCGACTAGTTGTTCTCGATGTGCAGACATGCCCAACGACGCCCAAATATCTCCCACCCTACTGCATTTGACGAAGAGGTGACCACCGGCCTCCCCTTTCTGGTTGCAAACCACACATCGGTTATCAATGTCCATGCTTCTGAATTCCAGGTTAGCCATGAGTGCACGTGGGTGGCTATTGTGAGCGCCGGCTCTCCATAAGAAATGTTGGATCTTTTTCGGGCACTCCATCTTCCATATTCATTTCCACAGGTCATCTCTAGCATTGGACACACCTCCGTTTCACTGTTGCTTGAACAAAATGCTCCTCCTACAGACCTTGTATGCACTCTTCACTGAAAATATCCCTTTGTTGTCATAGTGCCAGGCCAAGACGTTCTCCCACTTAGTGTTTACCGGCAGAGACAAAATCACTCATGCATCCTCATCCCAAAACATGTCTTGGACCAGCTGGGTGTCCTAATCTCCAGTGATGGGGTTTATGAGATTGGAGACATACTGCAGTAGATTGTTCCCCTTTGGGGTGATCGGCTTCCGAGTGTGCTCTTTCGGTAGCCAGGGGTCACGCCATATATCAATCCCATTCCCATCACCAACTCTCCATACCATTCCCTCCTTCAGAACTGCAATGCCTTTTAGGATGCTTCTCCAAGTGTAGGATATTCCATCTCTTGATGTTGCAGTCATACATGTTGAGTTCGGGAAATATTAAGCCTTTAGGATTTGTGCGCAGAGACTATCCGGTTATTGCACTAGTCGCCAATCCTGTTTTGCTACCATCGCCAGATTAAAAGCATATGTCTCTAAAACCGATTCCCCCCTCCCTTCGCTCTTCGGCTTGCTTTTCCCAACTGAGCCAATGAATTTTATGCTTACCCTCTTGCTGGTTTCACCAGTATCTGCAGATCATGCAATACTGGAAACTCGAATATTTCTGTGTGTGTAAAAACCCATGAAAAAATTCGAATACCCACGGAAAAATATTTTTCTGACGGTGTACCGTCAGAAAATAACACACAAAAATAGAATGACAGAAAAATCGAATTTTTCTGTGGGTTCACCATCACAAATAATTTTTCTGTGAGTCTCACACATACAGAAAAATTACGTTCGCCCAGATTAAAACTAATTTTTCTGTGTGTTAATCCACACAGAAAAAAGAAATAAACGCACAGAAAAATACATGTTTTTTTTCTGTCGGTCTAGGTGAACTCACAGAAAAATTCATTTCGCCTAGATTAAAAAAAAAATTCTGTGTAGCCAGCCTCACAGGAAAAAAGAGTTAAACACACAAAAAATTTATTTTAAAACAGTAGTAACAGCATATTAAAATATATATTTTCCGTACAGTACTTTCTGTGCATGACCAACAAGGTTTCATTCAAATAATACACAAATCAGTAGTTCATCATGAATAGAGTCAACACTTATGTCAAAAATAGATGACGACAGGCTGCCTCCACCTGCCCGCTGCCTGCCTGAGCCTGAGCCTGACCTCGGGGACAGGAGAAGGCCACCAAAGCTCTGCATTGCCAGCAGCAGCCCAGTCACAAGAAGCACGCACAATGTATTCTTGAGTTCATTCAGGCTCGCGTGATGTGATTTACCTCGGTCTGGGACTCCGTCAGGAGCGGGACGACAGCTTCCGTCGTGCCCATCCTGCTCATGCTGAGAACCTTCAATCAAAGACAGGCAATACATATCAGCAGACGAGAGGATGGTAAGCCAGACAGCATGGAACAGAGGAATGGTGGTGGTGGTGAGCGAGCCTTGTTAGTCTACACAGGATAAACACAGGTTTTAGAAACTGATGTACTACAGTCGATTGTTCTTTGACAAGAAATAGTCGAAGAGGATGCAATCGAGTACCCTATTGGAGTTTGGAACGAGCTCCTGTAAGTTCTTCGGTTGAAACCTTTTTCTGGCAAAAAAAACATTTATCCACTTGAATCTTGAGCATGGAATGGATTTTGTTACTTTTAACTTCGATTATTTTTCCCTTCTAGCTTCTATTATTTCATCACACTTCCAAGTGCATTTTTATATATCAGTTTCCATATTAACATTTATTGTTGTTATTATTTTTGTATTCATCCTATAGAAGGAAAATTTGTACTCCCTCTTGTCCCTGTCAAAAGGAAAATTTGAACAGGGACATAGGTTAAGAATTTGCAAATTGACAGATACGGAAATGAAATGACATGAATTCCCCCTCCTATTCAATTAATTTGGCTAGAAAGCTGAGAGTTGAAAGTATGTTTGGGTGTTATGCACAAATCCTTAGGACACAACAAAATAAACAAGGGAAAAAGAGGGTAACAAGCATCTAAATTAGGCACAAGCCTTATAATTTAGGATTAAAAAGAAAAATCAATATAGTTTGGAAATTGGCAGGACAGAATAATTATATACCTAAACAAAAGAATGTGATATGCATTACTTCAAATGGATTAACTAGTTGCACAATACTATAGCTAATGCATCTTTTCTGTTTAGTAAGTGAAAATAAAAGAAATGCTTGAAAATTAAAGTACAAAAATGGAAGGTTAAGATAATTATAAAGCATATTACATTATGATTCACTATCTTATTTGATACCTCCTGCCGAAACATAATAAAAGAAATACGAGTCATAATCTAGTAGATTTATTGATCAATTCAACAGTTCATCCCAAATATATAAAAAAAGAACAATTTTCCTTAGCCTACAGGTGATGAACTGTCAATAACTCAAAGAATAGAATGCATTTTAATCTTATAAAGAATACTGGTACAAATAACCTCTCTGCAGTCAATACACATGCTTCAGGCCAATAGGAAGAAGTACCTCAGATGGTGTAGTGAGAAAGAATCCGATGGTAGGTGCAAACTCATTCCCATGCCTAAAAGTGTTCAGATTTTGGACAAATGGTCAGTGCACTATATCATTCTCTATTAAACGAAGACATGGCATTACAGATAAGGACATCAGAACACATTGCAAATGGAAGTAAACCAAATGGAGCATGCACACAAATACTCAACCATTTCACACAGCGCCAAACAGTTTTAAGAATGTTAAAAGGCTGGATGAAAACAATCAAGAGAAAACGAAAGTGGTAGTAACTTGGCAGCTAACTTCCAGATGTCAAACTGCAAACCTAAGTACAGCAGCATGAACACTAGACTGCATGGTTTATATCAGCAATGCTTGTATGAGCACATCTACCATACACTAAGAAAAACACTAAAAACAGCTATGATACAAATCAGAGAGCATCCTATTGAAGTCAAATGTTGAGAGAATCACACTTTGAGGTGCTACGCCAATTAGCGATTTCACAAAAAAACATCCAAATTATTGCTAAGAAATAAGGGATTTCAGCAGGATAGGCATGTAGACACATAAGCATAGTAGTATTGTCAATCTATCATACTCTTGCAAGTGAATAAAATAAGTTTCTAAGCAGGCCATTTGACATTGCTAACCACCTTGCAAGTGAATCATACATATTCAAATCAGATTGTTATATGGCAATAAAATAAGCTCATATTTATCAAGTACAAGCAGTCGGTTCTTACTACTGATTTTACAGTTTGTAGTCCTATCAATATGCCCACTTTCAATGCAATTCAGAGGCAAGGATAATGCTTGTTTAGTTCACAGTTTGAGCAGATATCAGTCAAGAAAATTATTGTTGTCTTTGCCAACCTCTAAGGATTTTATAAAATGTACTCAGATCATGAAACCTACTCTTAATAATGTTCTAGATCTATATGATTGGCTATAGCTCGCCGGAACCCTAGATCCAGGAGGAGGAGGGCCTACCTCGTCGGGGTCACCGCGCCCTTTCGATCAAGCGCCCGCCACGCCGGGTTGTCGCTTTTCTGGGGCGTCTGTGCAGCCGTACTGCCGCGCACTGGGTCATTGTCTTAAGCGGCCACCGCGCCAAGGGCCTCCCGCCGCCATCAATGGCGCGTCCACGCCGCCACGCCGTTGGGAAAGGAGGGGGCGCTGGATCCGGGGAGAGGGCGTCGGATCCAGCGAGGGGGCAGCGGATCCGGCAAGGGGGGGGCACCGGGGAAGGAGGGGGTGCCGGATCCGTGCCGCCACGCCACCGGGAAAGGAGGGGGCGCCGGATCCGGGGAGAGGGCGCGGATCCGGGCGAGGGGGCGGCGGATCCGGCGAGGGGGGCTGGGAAAGAGGGGCACTGGGAAAGGAGGGCTGTCGGGGAAAGGAGGCGGCGGATCCGGCGAGGGGGCTGGGGGCTGGGAAGGAGGGTCCGCTGGGAAAGTAGGGAGCGGCGGGAGAGGAGGAGAGGGAGGCGGCGCCAATGGGGGGGGGCGCTGGGGCCGAGAGGAGAGGGGCGCTGGGGCGGGAGGAGAGGGGAAGAGGCGGCGGGAGGGGGCGCTGCTGGGAGGAGGGGGCGCCCAGGGGGAGGAGGGGGGCGGAGGAGAGGGGCGGGCGCTGGGGCCGGAGGAGAGGGGAAGAGGGGCGCCAAGGGTGTTTGGGGCGTGGCTGGTGGGTTAGGGTTAGCACTTTTTTTTTTTATTTATTTTATTAATAACATTTTACGTGCGTGCATATATATTTTTTCGGTATGCGTTTTAAAAAACCCATGAATAAATTGTATTTTTACCTCGTGAGTTCTTATTTTCCATGTGTCTATTGTCACGCACAGAAAAATCATATAATTATTCTGTGGGTTTTCGTATTTTTCTGTCGGGATATTTTGGAACCGACAGAATAATCGTAATTTTTCTGTGCGTATCGAAAAAACGCACAGAAAAATTCGTCGCCCACAGAAATATTCGAGTTTTCAGTAGTGATGCTACTAATTTGATCTCAATGGCCTTTTGTAATTTCAGAGCAACCCATTGCAAACGTGGGTGTATGGCTTGCGCCACAGCTTTGATGAGAACCTCCTTCCTTGCCCACGACAACATCTTCTCTTTCCAACCCTGGATGTGTTGCCATACACGATCCTTAAGATATGCAGAAGTGCTTCCCTTTGACCGACTAACATGAGCTGGCAGGCCAAGGTATCTTTCATTCAGGGTTTCCTTCTCAATCTGTAATTTCTGCTTCACCTCTTCTCTGTTGGTTGAGTTTGCATTTGCACTAAACAATATAGTCGAATTGCCTTTGTTAATTACCTGTCTAGAACATTGCTCATATAAATCCAGAATTTCTTGTAAGTGTGCAGCATCCTCCTTCTTTGCACGAATGAGAGTTAGGGAATCATTGGCAAAGAGTAAGTGAGAGACATTAGGTGTAACACCTCGGGTGTTAGCCTTGCATAACTTGACTTGCATAACATAAGCATGAGCATCAAGCATTCATAAATCATCATTTACAATTGAAACATTCGATCGAAACATATGAAACATTGCTTGTTATCTCGTATTTCTTGGAACATATGCATATGATCATGTGCAAATAAATGCTAGTGTGTAATGTTGGTCACTATAACACTTTAGCTACACTTAGGTTAACAAAAGAAACATTGTTCATGAAGGCCACATTTCATGATCAAGCACTTAAGTGATATTTCATGTGTTGACCTGAATAGCTATATGAGTGACTACTATATGAAATGCTTAAATGACCTTGCAAATTGTTTAAACATGCTTAGGATATCATTAGGAACAACTTTGGTATTTAGTGCTAAGGCTAGTTTGGTCATTTAGCCGTGGTTTGTGTATGTATCATGATTTCAAAGTGACATGTTTGACTAAAGTTGAACTAGGTGTTAGAGACCTTGCATGGAGGAGTTCACTAAAGCAATGTTGTAGTGTTTGACATAAGGAACAACTTTTATTTTTGGGTCATCACATGATTCAGCTCCTAACATGTTTGAAATTGGATCACAAGAATCATCAAAATCCTGATTTCAACACTTAACGAAATTTGCTAAGTCGTGAAACCCTGTCAGCCTGACAAGCCTACTTTGAGCATGACTTTACTCGGTTTAGGTTGCGAATTAGAGTATGCTGCCTTAACAAGAGTTGGAGATGGTACATGGTTCTACAACTTCTATTCAGTAAGTTTACACGAAGGAGCCACCATTTAGCCGGTAAATCAACGAGAAAACGCGCTGTCAGGCGGCCATCGAACGACTGACGAACTGAAACGCCCATTCTTGATGGCCGACGAAGCGAGTTTTGCGCGCGTGTCCCCGGCGACGGCGTAGCGTCGCCAGCATTCGACGCAAGCAGCCACGCCGCGCCCGAAGCGCGCTTTAAACCCGCCAGCGTTCGCCCGAAGTCGCCGCGCTTCATTTCCCATTTTCTACTCCGTCTTCCTCGCGCAATGACAGTGAAGCTCGGCCCGCACCTCCGCTGTCGCCATAGCCGTCACCAGCTCGTCCTCGCTGCTCCTTCGCCACCGTGATAGCTCCACCGTCTCCCCAGCACCCCATTGTTTCTCCCGTGCGTTGGCCGACAAAGCCGGTAAGCCACCGCATGAGACGTGTAGGCTCGCCGGAGTTCCGCCAGTGAGCCCGTCGTCGTGCGGGCCACGCCGCCACGATACTACTCCCGCTCCGGTAGCTAAGCGCGCTAGGTCCCCAGCGTTCATAGATGCTTGTCCACGCGTTGATTTGAACCACCGTAGCCCACACCGGCGTTTCACCGTCGACCCGCACCTCCACCCCGCCATGGCCGCCGGCCAGTAGCC